CTTCCAGTGCTTCCAAAGCGTTTCTGCGCGCGAGGCGAGTGCGCGCGCGGCGCGCGCGTCAAATGGCGGAGGAGGGGCTGGCCTGAGGGTCGCACGGAGGTAAATTGGTCCTTAAATGCCGCGTCCGGGCGAAATAAGATGGAGCTAACGTGGCTTCCCATCTGCAATTTAATACGATTTTCTCTTTCCAGTATGTCTTTTACTGCATAGGGCCGTGGGACCACGTGACTGCTGTCATTTGTGCAATGGTACTTTTCCATGAATGAATGGCTTATTTGGGTTCTGTACATGTACAGGGGAAAAAAAAATACAAAACATGATTGCGAAGAAATTAACTGTTCATCGAAAAGGGAACAGGCAGAAGCACCGGGCTTCTTATTCCCGATCATTTATAATTAAAAAATCACTGTGAGATGCCTCTTGCGCCACTTAAAACTAACTACATTCGAAATCAATTGTAATGGTAAAATAATTCATTTTCATGTGTAACGTCATCAACTTTGTCCAGAATTTAACGAGTTGAACCAATTATTGGAATCGATGTGTAAATAAAATACATTTGAGTCATATTTTTATTGTTCACAATAATTAAGCAGACATCAAAACCACTTTGGGTGTTTCTTGTAAAGGTGTTTCAAATGAAGTGACTCAAATCTTTTCATTTTGTCCACTGTAGTTGCCGTGGTGATGTGTTGTGTTTGCCCCCCCCCAAAAAAAAAATGCCACTGTTTTTTTACAAAAAACGTGCATATCAGGAAAAGTCATGAAACTTTGCTACTTTTAAACATGACTCTCTCTCTTCCTCTCTCTCTCTCTCTCTCTCTCTCTCTCTCTCTATATATATATATATACACACACACACACACAATTCTTTTTTTGAATGCACAAAATAAATAAATCCAAAATTTTGTCACGTACTGTGGATTATTTTTATCGTAAAATAATCCCGTCTCATTTTTAATGTGTTGGCAGAGTCATGCTTTCCCTGCTAACTTGTTCCAAAGTGCTCTTTTTTCTCAATTTTCTTTCAGGTTGGCTTTGAGATGTTGTCATTTTTTTTTCTCCTCCAAGCAAAATTGTTACAGATGTTGGCATGCAGCTCATTTCCTGTGTTTACACGAGTGAGGTCCAAATACTGTTTGTATTAGTGCGAGTAGTGTTTGTTCGCCTGGATGTCCTCCTCGACAGGACAACCCTGACCTCGGTGTAACATCGCACATACACTGACACACACGTCTAACTGCTAAAAATACCCCAGGGGACCACACACAATGGCTTGTCAGAGCGGTTGTGCAGCCGTGATGTTTACGTTCACACTTACATAGTTTTAACATTGTAGCTGGAGATGGACGAATACCGATACCAAGTTTGGGTATCGGGCTGATACTGGCCTTATTTCAAGGTATCGAGGTGTGGTGGAGAATACCGATATCAGTCACCAATACTTGAGGCCAAAAAATATATATAAATCTGACGTCGAGGCAATCTTCTTTTTTTTGGTGCTACACTGCAGCCGTTTGACACGTTGGTGAATTAATAAAAGATTGTTTATTTAAATGTTATGTATCATAAGTACTGTTAGTAACGGTACTTGGTATCAGTATCAGTGAATTCTGAAGAGAATATATTCAGTATCAATCTGAAAAAAAAAACGGTCCAAATACTTACCATTTTTAAAATATAAGTGATCCCCATACATGGTGATCAATACGGCACACAGCATACGTGATGGTGTCTGTTGTAGTACCAAGACTGACCTGTGAAAGGCAGCATAGTGGCATCCGGTCAGCTGAAAAAGATATAAAGAATAGAACAAAAAATTCAAGATTAACCATTGCAGTTGTAAAATCTTGGCCTCGTCATTTTTATTATGATGAATAATTTGCGAGACATAGCTGCTGCATCTTCCCTCGTACGTAACAATCGCAGAGTCGGTGGCTCAGTACGACTCAGTGTTGACCACAAATTATGCTTAACACTGCCAACACCACTCAGGATAATAATTCATAGCCATCCATGAATCAACTTGGATTGTAAGTGGGGAGTTGGGCTCTAATTTGGCCCAATTTTTGGTAGCGTATGTATGTACCTCATTTTACGACAAGCAGTTATTCACGAACTTTTTACACTAAGTACCACCAAAAAAAAAAAAAAAAATCTAAATTTTGCGTTTTCATTTTCCGGCATGGCAGTTGATTTTAATGCGGTTAATTTGCAATGCATACTGCCACCTAGAGGACGGGTGGAACAACATCCAGCCCAATTTAGTACGTCAATTGCATGACCTTAATTTGTCAGAATCAGAGGAAAGCAAAGGCTTTTGCCGCTCAGGGTTACGAGCTTCAAAACGCTTACAGTCGTCCTCCCGTGCTGACTAAAAGCAAATTCTAATCGAGCACAGATTGTTATGCAAGAGGAACGAGCGTGCCAGCACAAATGTGTGAGGATTATGCCGTTTTAAAAAAATAAATATCGGACTGAATGGAATGATTGACAGGCGAGGGGGTTGCGTGGAGATGGAGGTGCCGCATTAAAGAGCCTCATTCACACAGATTTCCTGCCAAATTGACATAAAAGAGGACAATTACCTACCTTTGCCTTTCACACAAAAACCAGCGCAGGCAGGATATTGCCAAAATGTCATATTGTTCTTATATGCTTAAAAAAAACGTGCCTTAGATGATAATGCTAAAATTATTGTGCGTGGAGTTTACTACTGTATCATATTGACAGACGTATCTAATATTCCACTTGCCTTATTTATCTACCTGAATGGAATATTCGAGGCATTTACACGTAAATTTTATATATATGCACTCAAGTGTGAACCAGTTATCTGCTTGGCACATCCAGTATGTGCAAATATTTTAATTCATATGTGATTTCCTCTGTGTGCTCATCGTCTGCCATCTCTTCCCCCCCCCCCCCCCCCGACCGTATTTTTAAGTTTTTG